TATGCACCCATCACTGTCACAGGGGAGCAGAAAGAGTTCTCAGTCCTGTATAAGCTACAAGCACACAAGCCATGGAGGAGTTCTGACCTCCAGAAACGTGTTGGATTTATTCTCAGATAAACGTTTACTGGACTTGATAAAAACTTGTAACACTCTCATCCTTTTATATGGTATTGTGATCGGTCCAGGGGCCCTCTAGGGACACCTCATCTGAAAGAGAGCTGCCTAAAAGAACTGTAGAAATCCGCCCTGTAGGAGCTCCAAGCACATAAGTCCTGATGAAGGTGGAGTTCTGACCCTGCCGAAACGCATTGGCTATATCCTCACACTTATTATTATTATTATTATTATTATACAGTATTTATAAAGCGCCAATAGTTCGCTCAGAGCTGTACATTACAAAGGGGGACAAGATAAACTTTTACTAGATTTGATACAAACTTGTAATTCTTTCATCCTTTTATAGGGTATTTTGATCACTCCAGGGGCCCTCTAGGGACAGCCCATTTGACAAAGAACTGCTTAAAAGAACTTTATACGTCAGCCCTGTAGGATCTCGAAGCACATAAGCTCTGATGAAGGTGGAGTTCTGATTCCCCGAAACCCGTTGGCTATATTCTCAGTCTTGTTGTCAAGATAAACCTTTACTGGACTTGATACAATCTTGCAATCTTGTGGCGCTCTCATCCTTTTATATGGTATTGTGATCACTGCAGGGGTCCTCTAGGGACACCTCATCTGACAAACTGCTGACTAAAAGAACTTTATATATCAGCCCTTTATGAGCTCCAAGCACACAAGTCCTGATGAAGTTGGAGTTCTGACACTGCCGAAATTCATTGGCTGCATCCTCAGACTTGTTATCAAGATAAACTTTTACTGGACTTGGTACAAAACTGAAACACTCCCATCCTTTTATATAGTATTGTGATCACTCCAGGGTTCCTCTAAGGACAACCCATCAGAGAGAGAACTGCTTAAAAGAACTTGATACATCAGCGTTGTATTTCAATAGAATACGATGACCCCAACCCACAAATGTGTGAACCATATTAAGTCAGCTGCCCCTGTTTACACTGAAAGGGGCATCAGCCCTGTATCATCTCTAAGCACACAAGACCTGATGAAGTTGGAGTTTTGACACTGCCGAAACGCGTCGGATTCAGACTTGTTATCAAGATAAACTTTTACTGGACTTGGTACAAAACTGAAACACTCCCATCCTTTTATATAGTATTGTGATCACTCCAGGGTTCTTCTAAGGACAACCCATCGGAGAGAGAGCTGCCTAAAAGAACTCTATACATCAACACTGTCTTTCAATAGAACACGATGACCCCAACCGTCAAATGTGTGAACCATATAAAGACAGCTGCCCCTGTTCACATTGAAAGGGGCATCAGCCCTGTACAGGGGCGGACTGACAACTCATGGGGCCCCCGGGCAATAGGGGATCATGGGGCCCCTGTGTCCTTGCCCACACTCAAAGCACACCCAAAAAAGCCTATAAAATGGTACCAGGGGCATTTCTTGGGGCCCTCTACTGACCCTGGGCCCTCAGGCAGTGCCCGAGTGCTCGAATGGTCAGTCCGCCCCTGGCCCTGTATCATCTCCAAGCACACAAGATCTGATGAAGTTGGAGTTTTGACACTGCCGAAACACGTTGGCTATATCTTCAGACTTGTTATCAAGATAAATTTTTACTGGACTTGGTACAAAACTGAAACACTCCCATCCTTTTATATAGTATTGTGATCACTCCAGGGTTCTTCTAAGGACAACCCATCAGAGAGAGAGCTGCCTAAAAGAACTTTATACATAAACTTTGTATTTCAATAGAATACAATGACCCCAACCGTCAAATGTGTGAACCATATAAAAGGCAGCTGCCCCTGTTCACACTTACAGGGACATCAGTCCTGTATCATCTCCAGACCTGATGAAGTTGGAGTTTTGACACTGCCGAAACCCGTTGTATTCAGACTTGTTATCAAGATAAACGTTTACTGGACTTGATACAAACCTGTGGCGCCCTCATTGTTTTATGTGGTATTTCAATCATTCCAGGGCCTTTCCAGTGATAGCCCGCCTGCCCAAAAGAACTTTATACCCAACTGACTGACTCAGCTATCATGGGTCCAGTGCTCCACCAATACACTTTTTGAAGCAGTAGCCAGAGGCAAGGTGAGTATGTGCAACTGCAGGGGCCACAATTTAAGAGAACCTGTTCCTTTGCCCTTCATGGTTAAGCTCTCATTTATACAACAAATAATCCTACTCTCCATTCACAAAGGTGTCTAAATATGATGGCAGAAGTGGAATTTTTAGGCTATGATGTGGATGAGGCATATTGCAATGTGTGTGGCGGCCGTTCATCACACCCTGAGGGGTATATAACCGGAGCCTCTCCCCCCTTCGACTTCTCTGCATAACACACAATGATAAAGCCATTACCCAGTCTTAATAACCCTGATAGTGATCTGACCCCATGTACTGTCAGCTATCAGGAGGGAGATCATTATCAGAGAGGAAGATCATTATCGCTACTGACTGATTGTACACCTCTGGCCATACATGATGTATGGATTTCTCATGATTGATCAGTTTTTGAGATCCTTTAGTTGATCAGATGTCACAAGCTAATGCTCCGTATACACAATCGATAATCTGATCATTAGTACACAGCATTTGTCTAAAAAAAATAAAAGGGACATGCACGAAAATGTTTATTGTACAATACCAGATCATTCGATTTTCCTTTAACCAGTACAGCAGTCGTCCAAAAATACAACACAAAGTACATGACGTTCTTCAGAATTTTTATTCCATCATTCAAGAATTTTCTCAACTTTAGTAACCTCTTCTCTTACGATATGAGATTATCATGCAGAAAAAAAACGTGTATATGAGGCTTAACATAACAGTGGCCATTTACACATCATTTGACTGGCCAATCATGGCAACCAAACAGATCCAATCACATACAAAGTAAGCAACTTACTGAATGTTATCCCATTGGCCATATACACTAAATTGCCAAAAGTATTGGGCGGCCAGCCTTTACACACATGACCTTTAATGGCCTCCCAGTCTTTGTCCGTAGGGTTCAATATTGAGTTGGCCCCGCCCTTTCCACACACATGACCTTTAATGGCCTCCCAGTCTTAGTCCATAGGGTTCAATATTGAGTTGGCCCCGCCCTTTGCAGCTATAACAGCTTCACCTCTTCTGGGAAGGCCATCCACAAGGTTTAGGAGGGTGTCTATGGGAAGGTTGGACCATTCTTCCAGAAGCACATTTGTCAGGTCAGGCACTGATGTCGGGGGAGGAGGCCTGGCTCGCAGTCTCCGCTCTAATTCATCCCAAAGGTGTTCTATGGGGTTGAGGTCAGGACTCTGTGCAGGCCAGTCAAGTTCCTCCACCCCAAACTGGCTCCTCCATGTCTTTATGGACCTTGCTTTGTGCACTGGTGTGCAGTCATGTTGGAACAGGAAGGGGCCATCCCCAAACTCTTCCCACAAAGTTGGGAGCATGAAATTGTCCAAAATGTCTTGGTATGCTGAACCCTTAAGAGTTCCCTTCACTGGAACTAGGGGGCCAAGCCCAACCCCTGAAAAACAACCCCACACCATAATCCTCCCTTCAGCAAACTTTACACTTGCCACAATGCAGTCAGGCAAGTACCGTTCTCCTGACAACCGCCAAACCCAGACACGGCCATCAGATTGCCAGACAGAGAAGCGCGATTCGTCACTCCAGAGAACACGTCTCCACTGCTCTAGAGTCCAGTGGCAGCGTGCTTTACACCACGGCATCCGACGCTTTGCATTGCCCTTGGTGATGGAAGGCTTGGATGCAGCTGCTCGGCCATGGAAATCCATTCCATGAAGCTCTCTACACACTGTTGTTTGGCTCATCTGAAGGCCACACCAAGTTTGGAGGTCTTTAGCTATTGACTTTGCAGACAGTTGGTGACTTCTGCGCACTGTGCGCTTCAGCATGCACTGACCCCCCCGCCCTGTCATGTGACGTGGCCTACCACTTGGTGGCTGAGTGGCTGTTGTTCCCAGTTACTTCCACTTTGTTATAATCCCACTAACAGATGACCGTGGAATATTTAGTAGCCAGGAAATGTCACGGATGGACTTATTGCCCAGGTGGCCACCTATCACGGGACCACGCTTGGAGTCACTGAGCTCCTGAGAGCGACCCATTCTTTCACCAATGTTTGTAGAAGCAGTCTGCATGCCTAGGGGCTGCATTGTATACACCTGTGTCCATGGAGGGGATTGGAACACCTGAATCACATGATTTGTAGGGCTGGCCCAATACTTTTGGCAATATAGTGTGTGTATAGATCAGTTGTTGCGATCATTTAATTGATCAGATGTCATAAACTATGCATATGGATATGATCACTTGCTTGGCCAATCATGGCAAACAGATCCAATCACATACAAATTAAGCAACTGACTTATTCTATTCCGTTGGCCATAAATGAATAGATTCTCATGATCGATCAGTTGTTGCGGTCATTGGGTTGATCAGATGTCACAAACTATTATAACAGTGGCCAAATACATATCGATATAATCATTTGATTGGCTGATTGTTGTGATCAAATAGATTCAATCACATACAATATAAGCATGCACTGCCCAACCAATAGCTAATAGAATCAATCATTTATGACCGTGACATGTTGACTGGCTAGCCTGGAATTTTATTGATCATTTCTTATCGATCATATGTGGATTCTATGCTACATTAAGAAAAAGTGTCAGAAATATTGAAACTTATTAATATTGAAAATTGATCATTAGCAGGCAGAATAAACGTATCCCCATTGTAGCCAAAACCATGGCTAGGTTCACATTTGTGCGTTGCGGGAACACATGCCACATTCATGCCACACACATGCCACAGCGCACGCATTCCCGCAACACTCAGAGAATGCACACCTTTTGTAGGCATGCCATTAAAGTGTTACTAAACCCCAGACCCTGCATTCACTATATCTGGTCTCCCCGGACCCTGCATTCACTATATCTGGTCTCCCCGGACCCTGCATTCACTATATCTGGTCTCCCCATAATCTCCATTCTCTATATCTGGTCTCCACGGACCCTGCATTCACTATATCTGGTCTCCCCATACCCTGCATTCACTATATCCGGTCTCCCCGGACCCTGCATTCACTATATCCGGTCTCCCCGGACCCTGCATTCACTATATCTGGTCCCCCCGGACCCCGCATTCATTATATCTGGTCTCCCCGGACCCCGCATTCATTATATCTGGTCTCCCCGGACCCCGCATTCATTATATCTGGTCTCCCCGGACCCTGCATTCACTATATCTGGTCTCCCCGGACCCCGCATTCATTATATCTGGTCTCCCCCGGGGCCTGCATTCACTATATCTGGTCTCCCCGTACCCTGCATTCACTATATCTGGTCTCCCTGTACCCTGCATTCACTATATCTGCTCTCCCTGTACCCTGCATTCACTATATCTGGTCTCCCCGTACCCTGCATTCACTATATCTGGTCTCCCCGGACCCTGCATTCACTATATCCGCTCTCCCCGGACCCTGCTTTCACTATATCTGCTCTCCCCGGACCCTGCATTCACTATATCTGGTCTCCCCGGACCCTGTATTCACTATATCTGCTCTCCCCGGACCCTGCATTCACTATATCTGGTCTCCCCGGACCCTGCATTCACTATATCTGGTCTCCCCGGACCCTGCATTCACTATATCTGGTCTCCCTAGACCCTGCATTCATTATATCTGGTCTCCCCGGACCCTGCATTCACTATATCTGGTCTCCCCAGACCCTGCATTCACTATATCTGGTCTCCCTGGACCCTGTATTTACTATATCTGATCTCCCCAGACCCTGCATTCACTATATCCGGTCTCCCCGGACCCCGCATTCACTATATCTGGTCTCCCCGGACCCCGCATTCACTATATCTGGTCTCCCCGGACCCCGCATTCACTATATCTGGTCTCCCTGGACCCCGCATTCACTATATCCGCTCTCCCCGGACCCTGCATTCACTATATCTGGTCTCCCCGGACCCCGCATTCACTATATCTGGTCTCCCTGGACCCCGCATTCACTATATCCGCTCTCCCCGGACCCTGCATTCACTATATCCGCTCTCCCCGGACCCTGCATTCACTATATCCAGTCTCCACAGTACACAGAATATGGAAATGCAATTATTTTAGTAAATATAAACTGCTAAATACCTTTTCTCATCAGCAGTATATAGCAGTCTTGTGACTTCTCTATCAGTGTATGGCTGAGCACTGGTTAATCTTGTAGAAGGAGTTTTCATTCTCCTCTGATTGTCCTATGAGGCTGCATAACCCCTGACCCTCTGGACAGCGCAGATTGGTCCTGTGCTGATCACATGCACTCTCCCAAGAAAAGGAAAAACAATACGCACTAAACTGAGCATGTGCAGAATGACTCCTAGAGCTCTGTACTATTAGCAGATGGATTGGGGACAGTAGAAGAAGGGGAGGATCAGAGAAGACAAGATCAAACAGTGTTTTTACGCAATGCAGAATATTAACCCATTAGGTTCCACAGTGAGTATAACAAGCATGCTTTACTGCATCTACAGACTGATTGTACTGTTGTGGGTTTAGTAACACTTTAATTCTTAATGGCACCCCAGTACGGGAGGGGTTAACATCGCAGCCAGGCAACTAGCATTTCCAGTAGGTGGAAGCCTCAGTAAATGTTTTCTTTTTCCTTAAAGTAGAACTAAAGGCAACATTGTTTTTTTTTCATTTTATTTTAAGGGAGGGAGATTTCCCTTCACTTCCTGTCCCCTAGCCAAAACAGGAAGCAAGAGGAAATCCTTTTCAAAGTGATGGAATCCCTGGTTGTCACCAGAACTACTGCCCCCATGGGAAGATTTCTCCTCTCTTTCTGTTCGGGTGACAACCCATAGTTTGGAATTTTCATTCACTTTCAGTGATAACAGTAAACAGGACAGAGTTGGAGGGTAAATCTCTGCAATGGGGACACAGACAGCAATAAAAACTGAGAGGGGTTCTAATAACTCTCCACTCCATCCAACGCAAAAATAACAGTTGTGTCTCTATTTATATTTAAAGTGTAACTCCAGGTAGAAATAAATGCTGCTCTGAAATATTCACTATTTTCTTTTTTCATTTTTAAATTCAGTCTGCAGAAGTCCTAGTACAGCAGAGTTCAGAGAAAGGGAAAGGATGAGCAGCGCAAGGAGCCAGTCAGGTGTACTGTAGTGCGCATGCTGACGGGAGGAGAGACCAAAGTGACTGAGAGGTGAGCTTGTCATTATGCTGCTTCTCCTTTCACTGTGCAGTCATCATCTGTGATGGTTCCAGCACGACCTGGGCTTATGGGAAGTGGGTTGGTGGCTCCAGCACGACCTGGGCTTATGGGAAGTGGGTTGATGGCTCCAGCACGACCTGGGCTTATGGGAAGTGGGTTGATGGCTCCAGCACGATCTAGGCTCATGGGAAGTGAGTTGGTGGCTCCAGCACAACATAGGCTCATGGGAAGTGGGTTGGTGGCTCCAGCACAACATAGGCTCATGGGAAGTGGCTTGATGGCTCCAGCATGATCTAGGCACACGGGAAGTGGCTTGATGGCTCCAGCACAACCTAGGCTTCTGGGAAGTGGGTTGATGGCTCCAGCACAACCTAGGCTCTTGGGAAGTGAGTTGATGGCTCAAGCACAACCTAGGCTAATGGGAAGTGGGTTGATGGCTCCAGCATGATCTAGGCTCATGGGAAGTGGGTTGATGGCTCCAGTACAACCTAGGCTCATGGGAAATGGGTTGATGGCTCCAGCACAACCTAGGCTCAAGGGAAGTGGGTTGATGGCTCCAGTACAACCTAGGCTCATGGGAAGTGGGTTGATGGCTCCAGCACAACCTAGGCTCATGGTAAGTGGGTTGATGGCTCCAGTATGATCTAGGCTAACGGGAAGTGGGTTGATGGCTCCAGCACAACCTAGCTTCTGGGAAGTGGGTTGATGGCTCCAGCACAACCTAGGCTCATGGGAAGTGGGTTGATGGCTCCAGCATGATCTAGGCTCATGGGAAGTGGGTTGATGGCTCCAGCATGATGTAGGCTCATGGGAAGTAGGTTGATGGCTCCAATACAACCTAGGCTCATGGGAAGTGGGTTGATGGCTTCAGCATGATCTAGGCTCATGGGAAGTGGGTTGATGGCTCCAGCACAACCTAGGCTCATGGGAAGTGGGTTGATGGCTCCAGCATGATCTAGGCACATGGGAAGTGGGTTGATGGCTCCAGCACAACCTAGGCTCTTGGGAAGTGAGTTGATGGCTCAAGCAGAACCTAGGCTAATGGGAAGTGGGTTGATGGCTCCAGCATGATCTAGGCTCATGGGAAGTGGGTTGATGGCTCCAGTACAACCTAGGCTCATGGGAAATGGGTTGATGGCTCCAGCACAACCTAGGCTCAAGGGAAGTGGGTTGATGGCTCCAGTACAACCTAGGCTCATGGGAAGTGGGTTGATGGCTCCAGCACAACCTAGGCTTATGGTAAGTGGGTTGATGGCTCCAGCACAACCTAGGCTCATGGGAAGTGGGTTGATGGCTCCAGCATGATCTAGGCTCATGGGAAGTGGGTTGATGGCTCCAGCATGATGTAGGCTCATGGGAAGTAGGTTGATGGCTCCAATACAACCTAGGCTCATGGGAAGTGGGTTGATGGCTTCAGCATGATCTAGGCTCATGGGAAGTGGGTTGATGGCTCCAGCACAACCTAGGCTCATGGGAAGTGGGTTGATGGCTCCAGCATGATCTAGGCACATGGGAAGTGGGTTGATGGCTCCAGCACAACCTAGGCTCTTGGGAAGTGAGTTGATGGCTCAAGCAGAACCTAGGCTAATGGGAAGTGGGTTGATGGCTCCAGCATGATCTAGGCTCATGGGAAGTGGGTTGATGGCTCCAGTACAACCTAGGCTCATGGGAAATGGGTTGATGGCTCCAGCACAACCTAGGCTCAAGGGAAGTGGGTTGATGGCTCCAGTACAACCTAGGCTCATGGGAAGTGGGTTGATGGCTCCAGCACAACCTAGGCTTATGGTAAGTGGGTTGATGGCTCCAGCACAACCTAGGCTCATGGGAAGTGGGTTGATGGCTCCAGTATGATCTAGGCTAACGGGAAGTGGGTTGATGGCTCCAGCACAACCTAGCTTCTGGGAAGTGGGTTGATGGCTCCAGCACAACCTAGGCTCATGGGAAGTGGGTTGATGGCTCCAGCATGATCTAGGCTCATGGGAAGTGGGTTGATGGCTCCAGCATGATGTAGGCTCATGGGAAGTAGGTTGATGGCTCCAGTACAACCTAGGCTCATGGGAAGTGGGTTGATGGCTTCAGCATGATCTAGGCTCATGGGAAGTGGGTTGATGGCTCCAGCACGATATAAGCTAATGGGAAGTGAGCTGTTTGCTTCAGCACAACCTGGTCTAATGGGAAGTGGGTTGAGTGAAGCTCAAACTGCATATATCTTGTGTGGATGAGACCTGTAAGTGAAAGTGAAACTGCAGTGGAGAAAAACCAGGTCTGCTGCCCTGGTTATGCTGTGTGGCAGAGCTGTTGAATCTCGAGACTGGATGGACAATAATAGAAATTCCTTGGCAGGTAAGACAGCTCTCACGTATTTAATTTATGTATTAATGCTTGGAGTTCACACTGTGAGGACACTTCATACAAGAAGGAACAGTTGTGCACCCCCCCCCCTCCCAGCTGTATGCCAGTGGCCCAGGGGGGGAAGCAGATATTTGCACTGAGGTGTCAATGAGGGTTTCATTAGTGGTGCAGACCGCACTCAGACACAGCATCTGTCCCAGTGTCTGTTATCACCAGCATGTTAATGGTGCTCAGAGGGGAGGAAGATAAACACGAAATGCTGACAACTCCACTCATAACTCCGCTACATGTTCAAAGTCACATAAGTGGCATGGAGGCGGAACGGCCCTGACTTCCAATGACTGTCCCAACGGCTGTTCTTGAATTCGTTTAGTCTATGGAAAAATCCCTACTTAAAAAAAATAAAATGCCTAAAAATTAGGCAGAATTTTTTTTAGAGAACGTTCTTGAAACTCCTATAATATATGCAGATTCAATGTCTTTATGTATTATGGCTTCATGCACACTGGGGATTTTGTAAATGCTGTTCTGCCGTCTTCAAA